ATACTGCAGGTTACACTGGTAACACTCTCACAAAATTCTGTCATAGAAACTAATAATTATGCATGGGACGAAAAGAAAATACCATTATCCTGGACAAAATAATTGTGATTCACTATATTATCCTGATAATCATCAACAGATGCTTAAAACTGAACTAAAAAATATTGGAATCACTTAATGTAAAATGTTGTAAAGAAATAAATATTTAGATTGCATCACAGATGGGACACCTCAGATAGGCATTGCATCTCACTGTTATTCTATAGTTTGGAATCCATAGTATTTCTGCACATGGGCGGGGGATACAATGGGCAAGCTAATCCTTCGGCCATGGTGACAGGTTTAGGATTTTGGGATGACTGGAAAGCAAGCTCCCCCTTGTGGTAATTTAAAATAAATCAGGAAATCAATATAAGACTATACATTAGCCAGCTGGACATGTCACTCATGTGAGGATATCCAAGATTATCCTGATTTGTGATTATCGCAGTAATGGAAATTCACCACAATCAGTTTATCTCAAATGCGTGACCCCAAGCAGATCTGCCAGGCTTAGCATATCTGGTACCTACAATGGGACACACCAGGTGGAGGTCTGCATGCCACAGAGTGCACTTTTCTAGTTTTAATAAGACAATAGTCCCAGGGCAAGAAACCCACCTTGCTCTTCTGTCTGTAAAATGGGAATGGGGAGATGTATGTACTAGCAATGAACCTTGTTGGCAGTGGCTGGTACACTCACCCACATGTACTAGACTGGAAAAAAAGCAACAGAACAAGAAAATGTTAAATAATGCAGAAAATTGAATGAGCATGTTCGTTCTGAGAGGATATCTGTGTACTTGTGCGATGAAATGCATGGATCTGCATGGTGGAAGACATTCTACTGAGAATCCTGCAAATGTTGTACTATATTTCCTGTTGGGCTCACATCACAAAAAGGACATAAAAGCCACAAATCACAGAAAAGCAAGGACAGAGACTCACAATAAAGTCACAATAAGGTAGAGATGAGCCAACAGGCTCATGATAATGCTCATCTGTCTTCATTGTTAGGCTCCAAACCATTCATTCTTATATTTATAGTTTTCCAAATGTGGTCTTTATGTGTGCAACCATCACTGTGTTTCCAACACACAGACTTTCCTTGGTGGAAGCATGCGTCAGGAAAAGCAACAGTGGACACACATTGAGCATAGCGTTAGTTTAGGCAGACCATGAAGTCAGGCTCAGCTCTCAGTTACAGCTATATCATATGATCCCAGCTAGTCATAAACAGCTGATGGATCAGCTGATTCCTCTGAGCTTCCTTTGGAAACCATACACAGTCAGCTGACGCTCCCTGTCCCTCAAGCATCCATTGGATATCTTCATGGCCTTATTTAGCTGCTTTAGCCTGCTATCTCTGCTGTTTTCTAGCAGCGCTTTTTGCAACCACCTCCACCCCAGCTCTCCTTTTATGTGTTTCTAATGAATCATGTAATTTCTGATTATTGATGCTGCTCTGTCTGTACCCTGGGGGGTCTCTGCTGCCGCTCTATCTTGTTTACTTTTCTGTATGCCAGAAGGCAGGAGTGTGCGCTACCCTGCTTAAGGTTTTTCCACGTAGGCACTTGGAGGAAAAGGAGGTCCAGACAGAGTCATACGCAAATGTAATATTCTGCTTTGGAATAAAAGATATTTTAGACAAAAGTGGTCCTGACTGAACTGGTTGATGCTGATGTCATTCAGTACCACGTTAATTCTCTATCATTACTATAGGCTATGTCAATAAAAACAAGCATTGTGTGTTGTGAAAACGAAAATCAAGAATGAAAAAATCCAAAACCGGGTTGATCTGGGGCAAAAAACACTGATGAGAAAAATTAGAAAATCATCAACCGATCATGGTTTGCTCTAAACTTAAATTGCAGTATGTCCCTTTTGTTTAAAGATCCTCTTTAATTCACTAGATTATCTCCTCAACTTCACTTCTGTATTTGTTCCTGTGTTCATTTTGTGATTAGCATGTCTCTTATTTTTCTTGTTCATTCTTCCCATTTCCTTTGTTTCCTTTTACCTCTTCCAAACTAAAACGCAGAAGCTGTCTTTTGTCATCGCTTTCATAAAAGGAAACAAATACTGTCTGAGCGTTCTCTCATCTGATAAAAAGTATGTGTCAGTACCTTCCAAAACTGTTACATATGAAGTTATGAAAATCAATTATATAGACAGTTTTTTGAGTTTTTTTCAGTTTGATATTCCACCACATTAGGTCTGTGTTAAAACAATAGACAATACTGACAATACATATATGTATTTTACTAGTTTGAGTTACTGGTTGCTTTTTAGTACAGAATTTCCACTTTGTGTTTTCCTGGCCACCATTTGGAGACTGAAGACTACTTAGTTAAGGTTAGGGAATGTTAGGTTTACGTACTTCCTTTACTACACTCTTTTAATTTTCCTCCATCCCCTAATCACCCTCTCCAGCCTGCTCTATCTCTCATCTCCATTTCTCTCTCTCCTTCTACCAAGTCTCGTAAACAGCTTCCAGTTCACATCCAACATCAGGGCCTAATGCATCTGGATGGGAGGTGCTCTCTGTGACAAATGACCTCACAAATAACTCTGCTGGAGAAAAAACAAGGTCCCAGTCGTCTCTTACTCTCTCAACATGTCTCTCAGCCTGCCTGTGTCTGTCTTTCAGTTCTTGTGTCTGTCTCTCTCTACTCCTCCTCACCATCTTGTCAGAGAGAGAGAGAGAGAGAGAGAGAGAGAGAGATGCGATCATCAATCTTATCCACCAATCTTTACCATCTCCTGACACTTCATCTCAGAAAACCCTCTCCACTTGATGTCTGACTAAATTAGATTAAATGACTGCTTTGTCAACCTTCCCAAAGGAGAGAGAGAGAAACTCATTTGGCTTCCACTCACACACTAAAATGGAGGCCGACAATTCCCGTATTGTACACTAGCTAAAGCAATTTTCCACACCTATTGTAGATCAGACCTCATATAAAGAATGAACGAGTGATAATAAGGATGCACGCAATCATCAATTTCAATTTTAGTCCTCTTCATTGTTGTTTGTGTATTTTATCAAGAGGCCTTATTTTCTATTTAAAAATAGTGCCCCAATCATTTCTGTTGTTTTAGGGAGGTCAGTGAGGTAAATCATGTGTAAAAGGACACGGATGACCAGACCTAGGTTCACTGTGACAGTGGAATCTGCTAAAAGAAAACATTAATTATAAGCTATTACAGGTGTCGAGTAAATATTTCACTGACAAAACAATGTTGTACCTGTAAAACAAGTGAAGGTAGTGTGGTGTCAGTGACAATGTACTTGCAGTCAAATATACCTTTAAAAATATTCATTTTGTATTTATTTTCACTCTATTGTTGCATTGTAGCAAATAGCTACTGTGAAGACAAACATTAAAATAGTTTCTCAATCAGTACTTTGTCAATATCCATGATAATGCAGATACTCTGATTCAACTTTGACCTTCACTAACTAACTACAGTGCACAGTTGAACATGGGAAAAGCTGTATGCACAGTGGTTATATGCAATAAGGATTAAATTGCTGGTTAAAACTTTAACACAAACAATAAGAATGAGACCAAAACTGGGAAAACTAGACTCAGGCCACAAGGAATATCCAATATGCCGTATTGCTGATGGATGTGTAACTAGTCTGACCTAACCTGTTAGTCAGAATTACTTGATCAATAAAATGTTCATTGTTGTGAGTTTGTTTTGGAGTCTTCCTGCACTCTAGTGGTCAGAAATAACTGAAAGCGGGCTTAAAAGGTTTCCGTAGCATTTTGCAAGAGTGCAAAACCTTGAGGCACATTGTCATAGTCCTCACAGACGCACAATAACACCCCATATTTCACCCCCTCCCTGTCACGCCTCCAACCAAATTAGATTGTGATTGCTCTTTCCGAGGTCACTTTTAATTAAACTGAGATGAGAACATGACACACGGGATTAAGGCCCATCCTACCGCTTCAAATTATGAATTCATAACTAATGCTAGAGCCTATTGCTTTCAACCATGACCTCCATATCATTTATGTATAAGAGCAAAAGGAACTCCCCTAATTGTCTTCTTCTGCAGAGATAAAGAGCATGATGGGGGGGGTGGGAGAAGTGTGTGTGTGTGTGTTTCTGTGCACATGTGTGAGTGTGGGAAGGGACTAGTTGAAACACTTATGTAAGGAAATACATGTTTTTAAATATATATACTCTGTTTTAATTTAAGTTGAGCTATATACCTTGTCTATCTACTATGCACCCTAAATTAATAATGACTTGACTAGAGGGAGAGAACAGAGGAGCTGACAGAAACTGAAGTATACTTTCCTTTCTCCAATGTAAATTTTTATGAGTGCCATGCCATGTTCAGGGCATCATGAATAATATTTCATTGAACTTGAGAGGAATATCTGTTATAATTTTAGCTGATCTGATTAATTGGTAAAGACAGAGAAAGCTTACTTGAGTCAGAGAAACATCCAAAAGCCTGGTAGCATGATTTATACATGTATGTGCTGAGACATTAACCTATGTGATACAACATCTAAACTTTGACAAAGCCTGAACCTGCCTTACAGTTTGGCAGAATTTCAAGCACACAGTCAACCCAATATGTCTGATGACTTTTGACTTACTCTGAACATACTTCTTTCTGTATTTCTTCTAAAAGATATGTTATAGTGCCAATGTATTCAGTTAGATGAAGTTTGTCCAATAAATCAATTCCTGATTGATTTCAGTCCAGTAAGAGCTGCACTAACCTACGCAACAATTCTCTAATTCTGCATCAAAGATTAGATCCTCAAGTCATAACCCCACAGCAAATAGGGCTGTAGGTGTATTTTCAAGTTAAAGATATCTGGTTAGCCTGCTATTCACGGACTGCGAGAAAAAGCTTGAACTCATGTGACTGGTGTTCTCCTCTTACATTGTTATCGGGAAAACGAGGGGCCAATAACCACCCTCCTTACCTCAGTGATAAAAGCCTTGGCAGTAGCTGGGCTCATGAATAGCACGGCTCTGCGTAGTGTATCCCTGTAGCGATGCAGCTCTTCCACACGCATTGTTCTGAACAGACTTGTGATCATCATGTTGATATTGGACTCCACCTTCTGAAGGGATACGTCCATTCCCTGCTGAGAAGTCCGATCCAGGAAATCCTCAATACCTCGGATATCTGGAGAAAGGGAGATAGAAAGAGAGCAGAAATTATGTATTTGGCTCTAGAGGGGCATACACATTCCTTTGAATGTATTATCCAAAAAAAAAGACAATAGAGAAGACAGGCAGAGAGATAGATGTACACACAGATTTAGCATTAGGACCATCACTCATTACTTTACAACATATTCTTTGCTGTAGCTGATTGGTTATCTCTCCGCATGAACAGGTTCAGTAAATATCTCAGTTTCTAAGCTCTTCCTGGCAGTGACTCCTTGCTATTTTATCCTTTGTATTAATCTGAGCTAAGGCTTTTGTTGCCAGCATCGTGCATCTGTCAGGATTGAATGGCTTCTTTTTTTCTAGAAACTTGAATATAAAAAAATTGTAGACATGGCATCTCACACACACAAAAACACACAGACATGAAAATAAAAGCATATGCATCAAAAGTGAGAGGCATGTTTTTTGTGTTTTTGGTGTGTTGATGTTGATACTCTGGTGTATTGATATTGATAGACAAAACTATCAATAGCAACATACATGTACCAACATTTGGTTTTAAGTAAGCTTTACAATCAGCATAAAGGAAGGGAATGAAATGTTTTTGTGCGTTTTACCTTGATACTCCAGTGATGTGACTGAAAAAAAAAGTTTGCTTTCACTTAAACTTTAGATAGGGAAAGGGTTTTGTGGTTGTGTTGAATATCTGTACTGTTAGAACTGGGGTGCATTAGCCAAAAAGTGTCCCATTTCTGCTGAATCCACTATGTATTCCTACTGGGACACTAATAGAACAAATAACTAATGACATTGTTAAGGGTTTTAGATTAAAGAACCAAACCACTGTAATTATCTCTATTAAGAGTTATTTTTGTATGATAAATAAAGCAGGATGCTAGTATCAGTATTTTTACCGCCTGGACTCCTTTATTCTTAATGAGCTACAATGCAGGTCAAGGTAATCCTAATTAAGGCACTTTGGTTGAGACCACTGCTAATGATGATGATGTGTGTGTTTGTGTGTGTGCGTGTGTGCGTGCGTGTGTGTCAGTGTGTGTATGCATGGTTATGTAAAGCAACGGCCTAATGATGTATTTGATATGGAAAACGGATGACACTGTCGTCATTGCCCGTGTCATGGCTGAGCAATTAACTGGATTGATTAGACTTGTTAAGGGCCAGAGGGCTGGGGTGATGGTGTGATTGCATCAATGCCAAACTTTGGAGGTTTAACAACGTATTAAGAGGAGAGACACGATGCAACAGTATTGATTCAGGAAAAAAAAAAAAAAAGAGTTATTAAGTGAAACTGCACACACACCCCGAAACACACATGCCACTGCTTCTAACAAGCAGAGGTTGAGTTCAGAAGGTTAAGCAAGGGCAGAGGGAGACATTTTTGGCAAGTTTGTGTTTGTAAGATATCACATCAACAGCTTTTCCCACACTGGAAAGATTAAGAAGGAATGTTGTCAACCTTTCAGCAAAAACAACATGACATACCACGGAAGAACATGACAGCAAAGTAATTGTACTTTCTGCTGGAAAGTTCTTCTTTCTCTTGCAACTTCATTCCTTCCTCACACTCTCCTTCCCCACACATACACACAGCAGCACAGGCATACAATAAACACATGAGACATGCAAAACTCCAGAGGACAACAGCTGGACACCCAATCTGTTTACATGGGAGTCTTAAATTGGAACAGACCTGTGTGTCTGTCTGGGCATACATGTGCATGCATGCAGATGTACATGTATTGCTGTGTTAGCACAACATAGAATGAATGAGCGGTACATTTCTGCTTTCATCTCAGTGAATTTGTGTAAACTCTCATGGATAGTCTACTAATAATGACATTGTTGTAATCCTTGTGTACAAGTGTTGACGAGAAAGGTAGATGAGCAAACAGAGACATCAAGATGGCATCTTTAAAGGCCCAACAAGACTGCTCTAATCTGTTTGGGAGCACAGAGTTATCAAACCATTCAAATCTAATTACTATTATTAATTAGCAGAAATAATAAGTTGTAATAATACGAGTAGTTACTGTTTAACAGTAATTTAACACTGTTTATCATTGACAATCCAATCACTGTCTAATGAGTTTAATAACATGAATTAGCTGTAAAAAAACAAACAAACAAACGAAAACCCTAACTTATCCAAATGTCTTAATTTACTTAAAGTTGTAGGAACAAAAATCATCGTATAGTTGGCTATTCAACTCAAACAATAACATATCTCTGCTTTAGCATACCATGCCTCTGGCTTTCATCCTAATAAAAGCAAATCACATTCACTTTCCTATCCTCATCAATAAACACCAGAGCAAACACACACACACACACAAACATGCAGTACATTCTCTATACTTTTACTAGTCTAAGCAAATTTAAGCTTAGTACTTAAATCTCCATATTCATCATGGAACAGCCACTACCATTTTTAATCAGTGGTGCCAAGCTACATAAACATTTTACACTGTCTGATTTATGTTCTTTATGGTAAGAAAGCTGTGCAAATCAACAAAATCAAAAAGCTTTTGTCGACAGAGCAGGAAAAAAAAATAATGTAGGGAACGCAAAGAGAATAATACTTGTGGCTTATTCCTATGCATGTTATGCTTGCACCTGTTCTGGCTTTAGATTGAAAAAAATAATTTTGCTTGCCCAGTTTTCACCATACCAATCCGTCTGCAAACTTTGTCTTTGTCTGTACTTTATGTCAGGTCTGCCGTTTTTTATTGGCTGTATTATGGGCCTCTTTGTCGCCTGTTAGTCTGCCTGTCAGCCGCTCTCTCTATCTGTCTGCTTGCCTGGTGACTGACTAAAGGGTCACTCTGGTTTTTATTTGCCATCATCAATCCTTTTTCCACACTGGCTTATAGTACAGGTGGTGTGTCTAATGCATTTGCCTTGTTCCACTCTGTGAGAAGCTTAAAAAAACAAACCCAACTCCATACAGCTCGTTTAAACTCCCTACACTCTCACCAATGTTCTTGTGAATAACTTGTGAAAGCCATTATTGTAGCATGGATGGTTCACAAATAGCAATTATTATTATTGATAACTGCCCCTAAAACATGCCATGAACACAGAGTGCACCTTTATATCCAAACTATAAAAGTGTAAAAATACTTAACAACTTAAAATGAAAATACATTTCCCCTGTAATGAGTAGTGTAATAATTAAGTAAAATGTCAGTAATATTACAGTTACACCCCAAAACAATCTTCCTTTTGTTGTCACATCTTTACTGATTTGAAATACACACTAGTGCTGCAGGTATTGAAGCTATTAGCGAAGTTTCAGGAGCAGGACCAGACCTCAGCTATGTCTCTTCTAGCATTCTCATACATACCTTCCTGACACTCTCCTTCTCTTTCACTCTCATATTCTACAAGGTAAATGGACTGTACTTATATAGTGTCTTCTGACCACTCAAAGCACATTACTCTACATGCCACATTCACCCATATTCAAACAGTGATGGCCATACAGAAGCTAACTTATTCACACCAATGCACAGCATTGGGAGCAATTTGGGGTTCAGCTTCTCAAGGACACTTCAACATGCAGAGGGAGGAGTCGGGGATCGAACCGCCAATCTTCTAATTAGTGGACGATCCGCTCTACCCCCTGAGCCAAATCTTTAGTAGATTTGTTTAATGTTCTTAATGTCCTAAGTTAGGCTACCCTCAGTAAACTAGAGCATCAACCCCAATATCATAGGAGAAGTACAGTTCACCTGTGGCAGACCGGGTCGTCCACTAATGGTAAGGTTGTTGGTTCGATCCCCGTCTCCTCCTGCCACATGTCGAAGTATCCTTGAACAAGATACTGAACCCCAAATTGCTCCTGATGCATAGCATCGGTGTGTGAATGTGTATGGATGAGTTAGTTTCTGTTTGATGGAC